CGGGAGGAGCCTCCAGAGGAGAATTGGAGGCTGAGACCATCGGAGCAGCCCGGAGACCAGCGGCAAGGGTAGGTGATTTGCTGTTCCCCTCCCCTGCATTCGGACTGCTGGTGGCTCCCAGCGGTGGAGACCTGCGGACACCAGCCCAGAGGACACCCGCCAGCCGCGGTGAGCCTGTAGCAGACGTGGCCACCAGGTTAAAAAAAAAATCCTATAATTCTATGGAAATCCTTCCATTTAAAATTCTAATTTTTTGTGTGTAGAATGATAAAGTTAAAGATCTCAATAAAGGAGAACAGTGGAAAAAATGAAAGTTTTCAGCTTTATCTTCTAATTCCAGGTATTTCTACAATTTGAATAAAATAGGTGAATAAAATTGGCCAAAAAATGACAAAGAGGAATGAAGGAGTAGTTGGTAAGATAATTCTTTGATAAAATAAATGCTAATTGTAAAATATTTTATTCATCCTATGAAATACTTTAAGGCTTTCAATTCTTAGTTTAGAAGAGATATGGAAGAAGAATTTGCAATAGATAAGAGTATAAGGATTTATCTGAAAAAGATAAGATTTTAAGTATGCTAGTTCAAGTAAATACATAATTCTAAGTTGATTTTGAAAATAAATTATTAAATATATCAAAATCAAGAAATTCTCACTGAATCTGAAGATTTACAATATGTGGAATGGGATTAAAGTTTTCCTGGCACTATAATTAGAAAACATAGGATGATAAATAATAGCTTTAAAATTAAGGTAAAATCCCTGTGGTATTATTTCCAAAAAACTCACAAATATCACTTTAGTCATGAGAAAAACATTTAAAAAACCCCATTGGATATTCGATAAAATATTTGAGCAGTACTCCTCAAAATTGTCAAGGTCATGGGGCAAAAAAAGGAAAGAATAATAATCTGTCATAGACCAGCAAAGACTAGGAAGACATGACAACAAAATGCAATGAAGTACTTGGAATGGATCAAGGAACAGGAGAAGGACATTAATGAAAACTAATGAAATCTGAGTAGCACCTGGAGTTAATTTAATACTAATGTATCAATATTGGCTCCTTAATTTTAACAAATCTACCACAGTACTGTAAGATGGTAAAATCAGGGAAAATTGAAACTCTGTGAGCGATATATGAGAGCTCCACTACACTGTGGTATTGCTTAAACTTCTCTGTAACCTAAAATTATTCCAAACTTAAGAGTTTATTTAAAAAACATCAAAGTAAAAAAAGTTACCATTCACAAGTATAAGACAATAATTCAAAAATTTAAGTATACAATGATTACAACATAAAAATTCAAATGAATATTGACTGGCCAGAATGCTTGCAAATAAGCACATTAAAATAATTAAATAAACAACAACTGCTTTTCCATAAAACATAAACATAAATATAGTGCAGTGGTGGATAATACCCATTTAGGCATAAACACTTTTTGGAAAATAAGACAAAATATTTATTTATTTATTTACTTGTTGTTTTATACCATGCAAGGCAGTGGGGTGAGGAAGAGGGAATGAGTGGCAGTCAAGTTTTAATTGTGCTCTTTGTGCTTATTTTTAGCTAACTTGAGAATAAATAATAAAAAATCAAATATTAGAATTTATAATTATTCCTAAGTACATAAAAAAATTTTAAGTGATCTCTTCAACAATATAATGAATGATCTAAGATTGAATGCACTTGGAAGGGAACGAATTGGTAAACATTTTATAAGTTTAAGGACCTTTTCCAACTTGAATCTGAAGAAAAATGTCAGACTTCTACATCTGGATAGGATAGAATCATTTGTGGTGGACTAATGCTCTAACTAAGAACAGGAAAAGTAAGATTTAATAAAAAATCATCTATTTGAAGTATTAGAGGACTGTTGTTACAATAATGACTTGAATAGCTACGATTCTGAAAAGGAGTTAACTAGAGAGGGGTAATTTGAGGATTTGCAGTTTTCCCAAGAGTTTTACAAATTCTACGTATGAGGAAGGGGCTGAGAAATCAGGCTTTAACCAGAAAGAGAACTCCTGCTTGAGGAGACAAAAACCACCCAAGCTTTTGACAATTATGCAGGGCTGAAGTGACAAAATTGGAGATACGAGACTTGTTTCCATCTCAAATCATTTGTCAAATTTTGAACCTATGCACAGCTGAAAGTTAAAAAGCTAAGCCCCCTGGCTTCTGAAAAACAGTGGAGTTTCCACAGTTCGACAATGCTGAGGAGACAAACACTGGAATAGAGCATCTGCCAGGAACAGAGCCCTTGTGAATACTCACCTCTCAGCTTGGGAGGTGTCACCCAAAATACTGGTGTGAACCATTACTAGCCAAGACTTACCAAAACCTCCATGGGAGACAGCAAACTATTTTGCATAATGATAGAAATGAACTAATGGGAAACATTTTAAGAAGTAGAAAAGGAACACGCGGTTGAGTGATAACCTTGAGAAGGCCAGAAAAGATGTGAACTGGTACAGAAATAGACATTCTTTAAATAGAAGCATGTAGTTAGAACAAAGTAGAGTACAAAAGGCAGAGTATATGGGCAAAAATGCAGGTAGGCTGGCAAATGAAATAGTTGGGGGCATGAAAATTTCTCTTTTTGATTGAGGGGAGATGGTTGTATATCTAAGGAAAAAGAAAAAAAGATAAGAAAAAAAAGCCCTCTAGAGAGGAGAGTGAATGGACTAACAAAAGGCAAGAAAATTGGCAGGCAACACTAGGGACACACTTGACGACAGTGGTCATGAATTTAAGGTAAGTTCAATCAGAAAATTTGTGTGATTTTCTTCTGCCCTGTAAAGCTGTGAAGATGCAGAACACATGGAAAAATTATTTTAACTAGGCTTTGATTTTGCTAGGTGAGTATGGCAAAGAAAGAGAGGGTCAAAAGAACTGAGGTTATATTATTTTCAAGATAGTGACAATTGTAGTGGGCCATGGAATCTAAGCTACATAAGGGGGGAAGTGAAGATATCAGGGGTTTGAGGGATAGAAAATAGTAAAATCAATAGAAATAAGTGCCGGTGGGGCTGAAAAATTGCTGGAGTCAGAGTCCTAGTGTAAGTGACCTAGAAAAACAGTAGGTAGTGGTTAGAAAGTGGAATGCTTGAAAGTGAGACTGATAATGAACAAGAATAGGATCTGACCATAGCGTAGATGGCAGAAGTAGTGTTCAACACATGATGATTGATTGGAATCAATCAAGAGGACTTTAGGAAATGAGAGGCCAAGATTTTGAAAGGATCATCTACATAGATATTTAAATCACCAAGAAATATGACAGGAGTAGGTTGAAGACACAGACAATGGAATAGATCCTAAAATCTTAATGAAACAAAGGAAGTAACATAGGAGTGTGTACCTAACTCCAAGAGTATGTGCTGGATGGTATAATCTGATGTATAAGTTTTAAAGCTGGAGGTGTTTAGGGAGAAAAAAGGAACACTAATGAGAAAAACGTCCCTGAGTCCAGCAGTATAACTGGTGTGGGAGAGAATATGGCCACTAATCAGAGAACTGCAGTGGAAGCACAGCCTCGGGGAGGTAATCAGGTTTCAGTTAGAACAGGAAATAACTAATGTTCAGAAGAGAACAGACTTATGAGTTGATCCATTCATTAATCAACATTTACTAAAAGGCACTGAATTAGGCAATGGGAATAAAACAGTAAGAAAGACATTGCCTCACCCCTCTCAAAACTGCAACTTGAGTAAGAAGTCTCATATAAAAGTGATTAAAGAATATAACTAAATTTCTATAATAAGTTAACATGTTATAAACCAAGTTTTATTTTATTAAGAAATTAGAATGCATTAAATTGTATTGAAAATGAGGTTGTATATTTTGAACAGCAGTATAACAAAATACATAATTATTCTAATATAGCTAATTATTTAAGTATTAATCACATGCTAAAAATTAGTGTGAATTAAGAATATCTGGGCAAAAGTCACTTTTAATGGTAAAAAAGAGGGGTAAGTATATGCTTTTACAGATACATGCACAGTTACCTGAGACAAAGCAGCATCCCGTTCTTCTATCACTGCACTCATTTCTTCTGCAGTTATTCTCTTTTTACATTCCTTGGTCTTGTAGATTCTATCCACAATTATAGCTCCATTCTTCTGAATAGCTATCCCTGTGTCTGCATTGTTTATTCTGTTCAGTAATTCCTGTAATGTCTACCAACACCATTATATGTTAGTCAGACATGAAGTTTTAATATATTTTATTTAATATAGGGTTTTAATTAATAGGCACATGTGAATTGTAAATTGACTGAGTGAAGTTATTGAATTTTCATATTGCAGCAAAGATGTACATTATTAGTGTGTCAATTCTTCTTTTTCCCACATCTTAGTTCTTGAAACCCACTCAATTGAACTTAAGCCTCTAAGATATAAGACTGACATCAAGAAATCTCCTCAGAGAATGGCTTACCATGTCATTTTCTTCAGGGTTAATATTTTCTAGCCTAGAAAAAAGGGACACAGAAAGCCTGATCAGTAGCATTTCCTTAGTGCAGCAAAATGAGTTCGCTTTTTAAATCTTTAGAACCTCAAGTAATTTCATTCGACTAGTCTTTAGAGTCAACCATGACACTGAACATATTAAAGTGCCACCTGCTCGACTCCATCTTTCAATAATGCTCCGTATCTTCTGCACTGACTTCAGACTGTTAAGTTATTAATGTTTACTGCTATATATGACTACAAGGATCAATTGTTCATATGTGCTTAGATGAAGAAAGTTCCCCAGTGATAGAAGCACTCATTCTCATCATTATATTTATTCCCGGACTTTCAATTTTTATCAGAAACTGTATTTCCTCTCTTTTTTGGACACCATTGTAAGTAAAACAAGGGAAGTATTTTTATTACAAAGTTTAACTATGTTCCCTCAGAAGCAATGCCAAATAATTACACTAAATTTGAACTAAAAATCTCTTGCTGCTACTTATTTGTGAAAACAAATATATAGAAATGCTGACCAAACATGGACCACATTTATAGATGACTAATGCTATTTTCTGTTTTCATAATATACATAAAATTATTCAGTTTACAGACAAAAAAAGTAAATTGGTTCCCCTCATGCATGCATTATGTCTTATAAAAGTCACAGTTACCACTGAAATGTTTGCTGATGTTGAGAAATTGAAGATATGCAGTAAAGATAAAGAAAGAAATTCTAAAAGACATAACCTAGAAAATATCTGTAATATAATTTTAGGCTATCATTTAAATTGGATAAATGAAAAGAAAATCTGCAATAGGTATTAGTGAAAGGACAGATTCTAGAAATGGTCTTAATTATTTTTAAATTGCATAAAAAAGTTTACATATCCAAGTTTCTGTTTTCTCAAGTTTTCCCCCCATTTCTGTACTCCTATGATTTCACACTTATCCCAAAAGAGGATATTAGAAAAGATACTAGAAGATAATAAATATGACACAAATTGTTTGAGCTTCACAAGTGGATGAAATGGCTATACTCATGGAAAAGTAGTAATTTTAAAACAGTATTTTAACAGAAAAAATATATATACATATATCAAAAAGCTACTTCTAAACACACTTAAATAGTATAAGTTAACAGGAAAGCATAGTGATATTGAATTATATATAATTTGGTATATCTCAAACTAATAACATCCATTTTGATTCACCTTTCAAAAAGGGTAACTACTTTCATCTTTTACCTTTTTCTCCAAAATAAATCAACAATATTCAAAGATGTTGCTTAATAAATTTTGTTCTACAAGAAGTAGAATGATAATCACTTCCTTTTTACTCAATTGAAAAATATAGCAGAAAAGTAGAAGACAATAAAATTCTTACAATTATTTATTGTCACAGTGAAAGTATTTGAAGAACACTAGTATTGCATTTAACCATCAATTATTTGTAGTCTTAATATGATTTTTAAGGAAATCATATATGGTAAGAAATATTTCTTATATTGTCTGTCTTTTATTGTCTTCTATTGTCATTTTTAAATGAAATCAGTCTAAGAGCTAATTATGGCAGCTTCCCAATAAAATCAAAGTTAAATGCTGGTAAATTTCACAATTATTATTAAACTTTATAATTTAAAAAGCAAACAGATAGATGGTAATTAAATATTTAGATTGATATATGAGAACCTTTGCAACAACAAAAATACTGAGTTACCAAGGTTCTAAATCTCCATTTTTTAGTTTCAAAGAATTATGAATGACCAGGGAGAAAATAACAGTATAGGTAGATTACCTAATTTGTATATTCCAAATAATCAACACAACAAAAATATATGAAATTTCTATGTAATACCTGTAACTTGTCTTCAGGCATTGCAAGCAAAGAATTACTTTAAGGAGGATCTTTTAACAGGAAAGGTTTAAGATAACTGTATTTAGTCTAATATTAAAACTCCCTGCTAATAATTTAAATATTTTTTAAAAATAAAAATCAAATGTATTAAGGACTATACCAGATCCCTGGCACCTGAATTTAGCATTCAGTCTTTAAATAACTTGTATAATTGCTCTTAAAAGTACATAACAAATAGTGATTTGTCATTTTGCTGGTAACTGAATTTAAACTAAGTTTTTGGTGAAGCTAGTGTGCTAGGTCTGACACGCAGAGCATGATTGAGCCAAGTCAATCGCTTAACATTTGAATCTCAATATTGCCTTATTATTATTATTTATAATTGATGTAAGTATAGTGATAGATGGCCATAAAAAGAAAAGTATAACTTTAATCAAAATGAAAAAAAATAGTTAATTTGAGATTTGAAAATGTGCATAGATACATGTAACTTTCATTATAAACATGAATCTTGAAAGAGGAAAAGCTGATTCTTTTATTTCTCTATTTGTATTTCTTTAAAAGTCTCATGAGATATTTATCACAGATATCAAAGATCAATTACATTATAATTTAGTCTCAACTAGATTACATAGAGCAGGATCTGATCAGCAAACTTTTTCTGTAAAGGGCCAAATGGTAAATGTTCTAGGCTTTGCCAAATGTTCTCTGTCACAGCTACTGAACTCTGCTTTTGTAGTGCAAAAACATCCATAGTCAATATGTAAATGAAAGAGTGTGGTTGTATTCCAATAAAACTTTATTTACAAAACAGGTAGAAGACTGGAATTCACCACAGGTTCTTACTTTGCCAATCCCAGATACAGAGTATTGAAAAATGAGACCAGATCTTTGACATTAATACACTGTAAGTGCCAATTCAGTATACTTGACATAACTTTATGAATTGGATCATTCAATATCTAGTTAAAGAATCAACAAAAGTGATTTTGAGAAAATTAAATTTAGGCCTACAGTAAGTACATCATTTGGTGTATCACTTAAGACGCCACAAAATTTAGACAATCTACCTTTTCAAAAAGAGATTATTTGAAACAGCTAAACAAGGCTTTCAATTTTCTATTTAAAATGACTTTGGGAAAGGTACTAAGGTTTACTAGTAGCATGTATAACACTTTACTGGTTCAAATAAAGATTTAAAATAATAGTTGTAGCTATATGAAATATAACTGACAAAGTATAAATTATATCTCATTAATATGAGGTTTACAATTAGACAAAAGAATCTCAACCTTTTGTAAACTTTAAATTATGCCTACAATAGTCTAATTTGACATAGTATGATAATTAGTAAGAATTTTGCTGAAGTAAATGTCTATGGGCTCAAGTTTCAATTGATTTCCTATAGCACGCAAATTCTGACTGACAACCTTGTACTCTAAGTGAAAGGCCCATGCATGAAATGTCGTATTCTTGATTTATCCCTAAATCGGTCAATAATGCCTTATTCCTTTCTGAAACTATAGTCATCACCTTGTTCAATGGCAAGAAAGAAAACGTTGACCTCAAATGATAACAAAACAAAACCAAAACCAGTGACCAGCTAATCAGAAAATTCCAACTCCTTTGCTTTTATTCTCTCATTTTTTACACAGCACTACACTTAACATGTTAAAAAATACCAATAAGCAAAGAGACTGAAGAAAAGATATGATCTCAAAAGTTGGAATATACAAATGCAAACATGTATATATTAGAATATGTATGTAAGACATTTTAGCTTGAAGCCTTTTTACTTTTTTGTTAGTTTTGAATAAAAGCAAAAAAAAATAAAGATAAAAAGCATTAAAGATTCAAGGGGTAAAGGAAAGCAGAGAAGAGGCAAAATAAGTCAAGACAGATACTGTAACAGAGACACAAAGTAGATCAGAAGTAGAAAGGAGATGAGAGAAAAAAGACAACAGAAAGAATCTGAAGATTATAGGAAGCAAGAAATAGGGAATTTAAAAAGAAAAGAGATGTGAAATAATTTATATAATTTCATCTTGTATGCAACTCCAAATATGCCCCTCATTCAAATAGAATTTAGTTAAAAATTGGTTCTCTTATTAAGGATTTAGTCTGAAACACTCACTTGAAGATTCAGAACCTATAGTTTCAGCTGAGGAGAAAGGAAGCTCTATAGTATCATGTGAACCTATGCTGACATACTATTCTTTTTTGTTGTTATTTTTGCTTGGTATGTATGACCTTCCCTGACCCATCCTCTCTCTCCCACCTGCACTCCTAGACTATAACAAGTAGAAGCCCCTCTTATAAACTATTTCTATAACCAAAAATTCTTTATATCAGTCAACATTGTTTTAAGTATTTATGCAGTTATTTACTTATTTAACTAAATTAAAACTACGATGCTATGTCCCCAGCATCTAGAACTGTACCTAACACATGGTACATATTCAATAAATATTCACTGAATGGATTAATCAATTAAACGGCTTGGGATTGTTTTCCTTTTCTTCCATTCCCACTCCTCCCATGTACTTAATGCTCCAAAGGACAAAATGAGAAAGAGTCTGCCTCAAGGAACACTAATTTAATATGCTATAATAAAAATTATAACATATATATAGCATTATATGTGTTATAATTATAATATATGTATAACATTAATATATGTGTAAATTAAAATGGATATACAATGGAGACTAAAATAATAGAGAAGAAGGATAGGTTCAATTTATATACATCAGTGAAAGATGGAATAAACAAAACTAAGTGATCAGTTTAATAGAAGTTCTGAGGAAGAAGTTTTGGCTTGGATATGTGGGCAGATGGCTGTGCCACTGATCAGGATGGCGGATTAAGGAGGAGGATCAGGTTTTAGGAATGAATTAATAAACTTCATTTGGATATGCCAAATTTGAGTTGCCTGTGTAAACCTGAGGTAGATAATTCTGACAATGTGCATTTGATTGATTTTGAATCATCGGCCAAGTAGTCAAGCACTCTAAGTGTTTTCTTCTATAAAGCATGAAAAAAAACCTACATCACAAGAGTTGTGACAATGTATGAAAGCTGATTTGCTATCTTTTGGGGGTGAATTTGATTTTTTTTTAAAAGCAGTAAAATCTATTTAGAAGCAAATCTATTTAGAAGCAAA